GGGGGGGTGTTAGGGTGGTTGTCGAGAAGGGGAAATGATCGATCAGTAAGTCAATCTGTCAACTCATTGCTGAATTAATCAATCAATCAATCAATCAAACAATCAACCAACCAATCAATCAATCAATCAACTAACCAGCCAACCAACCAACCAACCAACCAACTAATCAACCAACCACCCAATTATCAATCAATCAATCAATCAATCAATCAATCAATCAATCAATGTCTTCATCGATCAATCAACTAATTAATCAACTAATCATTAATCGGACCGTGAGCTATTCAATAGTTAACCAGTCGATTAATCAACTAACGCATTGGTCAGTCAATGAGTCTGTCAGTCAGTGGGCACTGACCAGTGAGACAGCCATGGAGAGGGTGAGAGCACTCCTGAGGTTGGCCAGCACCCGTGTGGCCTTGATACTCCTCCGGTACCACGCACGTCTCCTGGCGCGGGGCCGCTCCTTGTCCCGCCCTCGCTGCTTTTGCTCCTCCTTCTCATACCTGGAATAGTGGCGTTCTCTATCGGAGATGGCACTCAGAAGTCGAACTCGGGACGTTAGCTTGCACTCGAGGCTCTCTCTGTGTCTTTGTTCCTCGAACCGCGGGAGTTCAAAAGTACCCTACAATCACACGTACGAAGGTTACAAGAAGAAGAGAGAGGGTCGTTCTTTGGGCTCACAGAGTTCGAGTTCGAGTGAAAAAGAGCATATCAATAGGAAGACAGCCAATAAGCGTTGGGGAAAAGAAAGACTGGTGTGCAGAAAGAAAAAGAGATAACAAAAATGGAAGTGGACAGGACATGCCTTGAGAAAATATACACATGGGATACAGATGGACAAAGTGGAGACTATAACCCAAGACTGAATTTGGGGAGGGGGGGGGCTTCTCTTGTTGGTAGCCTATATTCCGGCAAGGAGTGAAAAGGCAGGCTGCTGCTGCTGATGATGATGATGCATGACGATGTAAATCTTACGAGCTACCCGTGGTCCATTCAAGCCACTCGCTCGATACTGTGAGTGTATGCCATGTATGGGTGATGATGACAAAATCTTAAAATAAATAAAATGATAGATGCATAAAAATAATTTTAAAAAACATTACAACAACATCCGAGAAATCAATGCTTCTATTATCCAGTTCGTAAGCTAACACAAACGCTCCTCTAGTTTTTCACATCAGTTCACCGAACTCCCACAATACGATCAGCATAATAAATGAGTGCATGCGTGTCTAACATCGCGTAAAGACTTTGTCTTTCGTGTCGATAGCTGGTAGTAAGCGTTCTAGGGTTGTGTGAATGCTGGAGAAAAGTTGCAAGTTCGATCGAGGTTCTACTTTATACCTGAGAGAACCCGGTTGTTACACTGTAGTGAGGGAGGGTGGCGCGGGGCAGTGATGAAGGCGATGGAGATGTCGACGTTCTACTGACCGACATAAAGGTCAAGGGTCAGGGGTCAGCATTAGCCAGGTTCTCTGTGTTGTGAGCCAGTGTGGACGATGTATCAACATGTTTTACTATGATGGCCCCACGAAAGACACAGAGAACTCTCTAAGCGGGGAGTGGCACTGTTCAACTTCCGGTGCTCGAAATGAACTCTCCGAAGTAGAAGGCGTACTTTGATTACGTCATAGGCTAAAATAATTGGTTTAAAATCATACGATGTAAAAATGCCCCATCCCCCCCCTAACACACACAATAAAACATATATTTAAAAAAGTCGACACAAAATGAGATGCTACCTTTCACTTCAAATAAAATAACCGTGTGTTTTTCAGGTCATCCTGCCCCTTTAGTAGCAATAATAGAATCTAGTTTATTTGAACGGGAAGGGTGAGTTGAGGTGTAGAATTTATTTAACCAATGGTTCCATCTATAGTGCTTTAAAAGAGATTATAAAGGGAACTAAAAGTCTTAACCGTCTTAACTGTGACATCACGAGTGTTAAACGTGACGGGCGCGCACCCATTTCAGGGAGGAATGAAAGGCCAATCGGTGCACAGCAACACTTTTCAATCACGGATTAAATAATGATACACTGGGAAGTCTGTTAATGCTGATTTCCTTTTCATGTGATTTGCCTGTCGCTAAAATGTACTCATATGAATTCTTCTGATTGGTTACCTTTGAATGAGCCAGATAATCTCCAAATAATGCAAATAGGTTCTTTCACACGGTGAGGTCATGTCATCATCATCATCCGGTGCCTTGCCGACTGGCCTGGGCGACAATGGTCCTCCACTTCCATCTGTCTTTCGATGCAGCAACGGTGTCTGTTGTTCTTGCTGCTCCCAGCCATGTTGTCATCTTGTCCAGTATCTTTTCCCTCTGTCTGCCTCTGCCTCTCTTTCCATCAAACTTTCCTGTTATTACAATATTCTCTAATGCTTCTTTCCGCATTGTGTGTCCGAAGAAATTTGCCTGTCGTTTTCTTATATTCGTGATAATTTGTTTTCTATAATTTGCTTCAACCAGGACATGTATGGGTGAGTAAAATTCAGAAGAAAAAACCCCGAATGAGATAGACTTGACAATCACTTGTTAAAATAACAAACATAATTTTGTTGAAATCTTTTGCTGTGCGTCGCTCAAACAGTATTTCTAGATTCAGCACTGCTTACAACAACAAGGCTCTCGTCTTGGCCATCTGGGATCTGGAATGTGACTGAGAACCTACTAGAAGCTTCAGCTGCAACTCTAGCACACCTGGCTGATTGAACGGAAAAGAACCACTGTCGATGCTGTTGAGATGAGAGCATATAAAGTGTAGACAACATGACATAAAAGCAATCCATTTTGTAAGTATTAAATAGTTCTTTTTCTTAACAAACTCAATTATTCACTATGTCTCCCTCAGC